GGGGGGGGGGGGGGAAGGTCTATTGGATAAGCGTGATTGAAACAAGTGAGGGCTCGAAGCGTCGATTTGAAAAATACCTGTTATTCAGCCGGATTACTTTTCACTTTCCACCATATTCAGTGTCCAGCTGGATAGAAAAAAACTCTATCGGGTGCACAACTACATGCAACCACATCAGTTCTTAGCTACTGTAGTGTAATTTTATTACAGGAAGTTTGACGTCGTATCAATTGATGCCAATTTTCTGGAAAATTATTTCTGTTCTGGAAGTTTCTTTAGATCAGAACGTTGTTGCAGCGGTCAACGATGGCGCTTCCCCAAACAAGAAATTTTTCAACCTCCATGTCAACCTGGCTGGCAATCCAACACCAAGTGTTATATATATATACAACACAAGTAATGTCTTTGCAATGACAAGATTCATCTTCTTTTTTGCAGATTCGCTCCATCTTATAAAAACAGCTCGCACTGTTTATACAATTCTGCGGGTCGGCATTTCACAGTCGTTATATGTGCAATGATGGACAGTACTTGATGCTTCGCCACATTGCTGATCTTTGCAAAAGTGACCAGGAATTTTGATTGCATGCCCTTCCAAAAAGTCCAAAACTCACACTGGATCACATTGGGCTTACATCTTATATAAGATGAAGGTCATGATGGCAACTCAAGTCCTGACCAGGCCCGTTGCAATCACCCTACGTGAAAGTGATAATGAAGAAGTGCTTGGTACAGCAATGTTCTGTCAGATGCTCAATGGCTTCTTCGACTGTACCAGTGTGCGGTCTACCATCGAAGATATCTGCAAAAGGATTATTATGATCAAACCCTATTCCGCCTGTGATGACGAAAGGCTCGCATGGTTAAAGGAAGTTTTCCTAAAATACCTTCAAGACTGAAGGGAGAATACCTTGCATCGTCCGGGACTGTTTTCACCTGATGAAAGAGGGAAAATATTTCTGTCTCCCCAAACATATGAAGGTCTGCAGATATCTGTCAATTCACATGTTGAAGCTGTACAGTTTCTTTTATAAAAGGAGGGATTTCAATATGTCTTGACAGAACGTTTTATGCAGGATCTATTGGAATACTATTTGGTCACCGGAGAGCGAAAGTTTGGGTACAACGATTTGACCATTGCTGCTCAGAGGGTTATTGCCCCAATTATCAGCGGCAACGTTGGAGGTCGGTATGAGGCCAGGAAGTGGCAAGACGTGAGCGACGACCCAGCTAAAAAACGTTCGAAGGAAAAGAAAAGTAATAACAATTAGACATTTGATAAAACAACACACAAAGCTAGTCCAAGTTAGTGCATTCATGGTGTTTATCTTGCAATAGTGTTGAAATTCACAGCTATATTTTTTTCCAAGTTACATCAACCATGCCATTATACACTTATTTGGACTAGTTTCATAAAATCTTTTATAAAATGTTCAGTTTGCCCAGAATCGGTTTACAGATGCACAAACGGCTGCCAGTCATAACATTGTGAATTTTTAGATTGCCATATAAATTGAAACTATATGCATAAAATTCATTTTTAAACTTTGCACTCTCTTGCAAATTCCAAAATACAAGAAAACAAGTCAATAAACCTTAGGACATAATTATAAGTTGACGGCCATTTATGTATTGCATAACAGGCTGCAAATTTGTAAGATTCGTTTTCTTTGAATCATATTAAACGCCCAATAAGAAAATCTGGGGTGGTTAGCAAAACGGTATACCCATTTACCATCAATAATTTCAGTAAATTTTAGAAGATACTTTATTCGTTCCTGAAGAGGGACATCTCTCAGAAGTCCTTGATTAGTAGGATCACCTTTCCCATCTGGAAATAATGTTGGGAAAGCCATTGTGGCCAGATGCGATATCTGATACTCGTTTAAAGGCTCATTTTCAACTGAGGGCCAGGGCATTGGCTCATTTTCAAACAGCTGATTTCTAACAGCTTCAATTTCCGTTTGCTGTTGTTCACCAACAGGTAAAAAACTACTCATTTCAGTAGAGTCATTATAAACAATATCCTCTGATGGATTATCAATAGGAGGACCTACATCAGGAGAACAATTGTCATCTGAGACAATATCATCATCAGTCTCAACAGTCATAAGACCTGGTGGTACACCATTTTCAGGTAAGGAATTTAATGCATCTTCATTTATTAATAACTCAGAATAATGTGGATTGTTATTGATAAGCCAAACTAAAGCATTGTGCACTTTTTGCTTTCGCACTGTCACATCTCTGAACGTGTTTTCTCTACCTTTAGCCTTGACAATAATCACATCCAAGTCTTTAGGATATCTTGGCAAAGACATTGCAAGTTCTTTGAAATTTTGTGGCAGGTTAATACAATGTCCTGAATAACCTCTTGACCACCAGGTTTAATATAAACTGTCATGATAGGCAAAGCACGAGCAATTAACATTTCCTGAATCTGAGTTAAATTCTGCAATTCATGCGGAACACATGAAGGTATCATTGAATTTTCGCAAGAAAATTTTTTTGGAGATTTTTTATCTCTAAAGCATCGTGAACACACATAAGGTGTCCTTGGTTTAGATTTCAAAGGCCATGCCTCCTGACATACTGTACACTGACTGACAATGTATTGCACTGACTTATTAAACATATTAATGTTAGCCTTAGCCCAACATTGCTCTTAAATACCACCGTTATTGGTGTTGTCAAACATATTTAAATAATCCTGTTGATTTAACATTTCATGTTGAGGCTGTGACACATTTTTTGCCCGCTTTTGTTTTTATTAAGTCTATCTTTTTCAAGCCTTATTTTTCTGTTGGTGTCAATTTCCTCTGACCGCTTTCTTTTTTTTAGACTCACAATCCTTTTGAAGTCTAATTTGTTTTTCACTGTCAGTTTCCTCTGAACGTTTCTGTTTAATTGGCTCACTCATTTTTTAAGTCTTATTTTTGGCTGACTGTCAGTTTCCTCTGATTGCTTTCTTTTTTTATACTCACTAGCGTTCTTAAGTCTAGCATGTTTATCACCTTCATTTTCTACTAAAAGCCTCTTTTTTTGGACATTCTCTCCATCCTTTACACACTTACTTTTTTGCTCTGAAGCTTTACATATATTTAATTGCACAGGTACAATTTCAAATATATTGGCATGTAATGTCATTGAAAGAGAATACAAATATTGTTCTAATTCTAGAATATTAACAAATTTCATGACAACAGCAGTACCATTAGGATCAGGCATGCCAATAGAGTCTCTGGCATGGGAGTCAAATAAATAGAAAAAATCTGTATGCTTCATCAAGGCCATCATATAGCCTTCTAATATTAAAATAGTATAACTATAATTTGAAAACACATTCAAAAGTGCTATGTGAATGTCATAGTAGTGTGACTCAATTTCTCGGTTGGTTATAACGAGACCTTGAAGCTCTTTTCCATATTTTATAAACCAAATTTGGTTTTCATTGTTTGCCTCATTAGGCACCACAGAATTGTGCTCTAGCCCAATGGATTGATCATTGTTACTTTTTGCCACAATGGGCAGATGAGTGATACTTTTTGCCTCAACAGACTCTACCACAATGGGTAGTTCAATGTTATTTTGTGCCTCAGTGGGCTCTACCACAATGGGTAGTTCAATGTTATTTTGTGCCTCAATGGGCTCTACCACAATGGGCAGTTCAATTTTATTTTGTACCTCAACAGGCTCTACCACAATGGGTAGTCGAATGATATTTTGTGCCTCAACGGGCTCTGCCACAATGGGTAGACTGTTATTATTTTGTCGTACCACCACGGGTAGACTGTTATTATTTTGTCGTACCACCACGGCTAGACTGTTATTATTTTGTCGTACCACCACGGCTAGACTGTTACTGTTTTGTCCTACCACCACGGGTGGACTGTTATTATTTTTTCGTACCACCACGGCTAGACTGTTATTATTTTGTCGTACCACCACGGGTAGACTGTTATTATTTTTTTGTACCACCATGGCTACACTTTTACTGTTTTGTCCTACCACCATTGATAGTTTAACATTATTTTCTGCATCAAAGGGATCCACAGGTGTTGTAGTTGTTTTCGCATGCTCTACAGGTGGTATATTAATACTTGTGTCGATCAGAGAATCGCATATCTCGTAAGAAAACATGTTCGTACAACTTGTAACACTAACAACTTTAGGTAAGTTATCTACAGATAAGAATTCGACACCAGGTTCTAAGACAACAAAGCCATTATCCAGAGCTTGCAAGTACATTTTGTCTCCTTGTAATAAGACATTTTTCATAGTTATGTAGTACATGCATGTCTTTCTTGTAAAATAGTTTATTTAGTCAAAAAAATCGCTCATTATTTAGTCTGAAAATCTCTTTGTGATAAAGCTTCCTGAAATTAAATATTAATTTAAAAAAAAGAAAAAAAGTACCCTGCTATTGTCCCTGGTGTGCTGTACGTGTGCATTCGATCTGAAACAGTTGCTACTGTGCTGCCGAAACATTTCGAATATTTACATGAAAATAGCGACAAGTCATGCAATTTATAATGTTAACCTTGTAAACTGTATGAGCCCCTATTTTTACGCTTATGCCTAAGATATCAAATAAAAATACATGAAAGAGAAACATTTTTAGAAAGTTTTATCGTGAGGCCACGGCCACTTTTTAAATTATCTTCATTTCCCCTCCAGTCATCACCAGAATTACACTGAAGCTGGGCTTGAATATACAATAAATTTTGAATCTCATCAATTACAAAAATATTTAACGTGTAACCAAAATAGGCTCATGAAATGGAAATTAAGAGCTAGATTTTCAAACCAGACCCTTCTCGAGGCGTTTTCATGAAAGAAGTTCATCTTTCGGCCTTTGATTCTTGGCACAAATTTGACCACAACACATGCGAAGCAACTGGGTCTCAAAGAGTTAGCTAAAACATTGTGAGCCCCTAAACCGGGCGATAAATTTGATATCCACAAACACCGAAAAGATATTTCTTTTCATTTAGCTATATTTGAGAATGAGGCCATCGGCTATTTTTAAGAAAATACAGTTCAAAGTCAAGTTATTTTTGCAAATTTTCAAAATTTGTCAAGTTTTGTATTGTATTTTAAACTTAGACCGCTGAGCCTGAAGTTACATTAAGAAACATGGGATGGAAAATTTGAAGCATAATATACAATACATTTCAACTTACATTTCATTCTCATATCACGTTTTTCTTCGTTTGTTACGGTTTTAAGCAAGCCATAGCTGAATGTGTACAGTATTTGTTCCCATGTTCACGTCACCATATTCACTTCTTCCAATCACTCGATTACAAGAAAAATCATCTCAAAACAAAGAACTCATTATCGATTTTTTAAAGAATAACCTTTAATTTGTAAATCGTTTATTGGATAACAAAAAATCGTCAGCTAAAACAGCTTCTTGTTAACTTTCTGCTCTGTTTTGAATGTAAATGCAATGGAACTTTGTTTCTGCCAACGGTTTTTTGGTCAGCGACGACAAACTTCCCACCTGTTGTACTGCATACATAATAGTTAGTGTGTGGTTTAGAGGGGAGCTCATACGTTTGGGTAATGTGCGCATGTAATATCCTCAATTAAGCCCTCTCCATTCAAAGAAGTGCCCGTCTGTATTAACAGTATTTAATTTTACCAGAATGAATAACATGTTTACTGATTATGTTTTAGTAATTTAATAATTCAATCTGTTTAATGCTAGATCATTTTACTCCTGAAGGGAAGAGGGTTTACACTTAATGGATTGACTTCTATGATGATTCCCATAATTTTACCACATATCAGCTAAATCAGTCATCTCATCTTTCCAATCGGCACCAGACCCTGAAATGTTAATAGTACCCAGCAGGATTAATTAATAGAGGATTTACAATATTTTATCACCTAAATTTAGTTATGAATTTTAGAGTAATCATATTCAGAATGGTGAGAAAATGCTAGTGCTAAAGGTGTAAAGCATACAGCAAAGGGAAGTGTACAGCAAAGGAAGTGTGTGGAGTTAATGCTCAAATTTTAATAAACGGTTGGACATCTAGATCTATGCCAACAGCAAGCCATTAATATTTTTTGAATGACTGACCCTATCAGTTCACTGTGCGAGAAGCTGTACTATTGTATCACATTACAACTCAATTGTACAAAATGATTTTGATGAAAATATTGATTCTAATCTAGATATCGTTAATTAATTTGTTAAATGTGCTACATTGAAAAAGCTAGTATAATGAGAGTGTTGAATTTAATGGTCACATCAATAATGTAATTATTACTATTAACAATGTAATAATTGAACTATGGATGGAATTTAGATGAATAATATTGTAGGAGATGCAAACTATTCTCTGTGTTTTTGTACAAAGTTACACACCTATGCCCACAAAGAGCCAAATGGCCTCTTTACCCTTTGAGTGGCAATGTGCCTTGATGAGCCCTACTTTATTATTTTACTCTTTCTATTGCCAGACAAATTTACTACTCAATTGGTTCATCAGGCTATCTGGTTACTCTGTCTAATTCAAGCATATTATCTCGATGAATTGACTAGCGAGTTAGATAGTCTGCCATTAAAATGAGTAAAATAACAAAGTATAGAGGATTCATTGCAGTTTCAAAGGTTAGGGAGCAGTCATTATTAATGCCAGGGGCTGGGGCGAAAGATATTTCTAAACTCATGGTAAATTTTTCATGGCCCCTTTCAAAAGATTTTTTCTTGCCCTCCCCCCCCTTTACGTATAATAAATTTTCATAGCCCCCCCC